AAAAGAATTAGTATTAAAAAAATTAAAAATAAAATACTTCGAGACGCCGAATCTAAGATCAAACGATGAGTAGCTCTCTTGATAAAAAATGAACGGCTGGATGGTAGGGGGAATATAGAACTTCTATGTTATAAAGGGCACATAGAAAGCTTTCCCTTGTATGAGTGCATCTCAAAACTATGTCTAAAATACAGTTTAATTGCTGCAAAGCTTTGCTCCAAAAATGGTGATGATCAATCATATCTATAAACAATTGAAAAACTTGAAAATAGATCATCCAAACGACGTGTTAGAAAATGGATTAGAAATCCCTTTTTTTTCACACTTATGAATCTCGCGGTTGAGATGATCGATTTGAAGGTTTTCCAGCATAAAAACAACCTTCTCTATCATTTTTTAAAGTGCACCATACTCCTATAGTATAAGGTTGACATCTTATACAAACTCTTTCCAGAATTTATAAAGGGTATCTTGAGAAGGTTTAAACAAGAGTGTCGTTTTAAACCATTCAATTAAGGTGTACTTCCAAATTTTATCATAACATATAATTTTGGTGTAAAAAATTATTAGGATTATCTGAAAATCTATTTTTATATCTAATTATAAAATTTTAAGCTCTAAAATCAAGTAGATATATAAACATATGAAAATCTTGAAAATGGACGGTCTAGATAATGTGTTGTAAGATGCATTATTTCCAAAGCTCAAAATCTTTTTTTTGTAATATTCATACATCTTTATGTCGAAATGATCAATTAGGGCGTTTTTCAACATTAAAACAACCTTCTTTGATGGAATTTTGAGATGCATCCTTATTTCTACATTTTAAGGTTGGAACCTTATATAAACTTTTTCCTTTGAACAAAAACAAAGAAGAGCCGCTCCAACAAACGGTCCAATAATAGGAGAACATACCTATCACTTCATCAATTATTTTTATTTTTTAAAAGGAAATGTTGATGTGAAAAACGAGCTGAACCCCTGTTTTCTGCTGAACAGCAGTCGCAGGAGACCGATCTTCTCTCCTTTCCACAAACCGCAAAAATCAAGCCAATGGGAACTCCTTTCACCACTTTCTCTCTCTTACTTTCAGCCTTCTTCCTCATAATCCTTCCACTTTCTCAATCTATTCCCTTCGTCGTGTTCCATGGTAAGTTCTCTCTATTGTTGGTGAATACCACCTCTCTCTTGTGGGTGAATTCCATGGACTGCTCATTTAGTTCTTACAGTTCTCAAAATTTTATGGATTTTGATTGAGACCTTTTTTTTTTTCTTCTTCTCAAATTACAGCCAAATTGGGCATAAACAACTACACTTGTTCATAATTTATAACTATAGCTTTAACACTGCACATGTCACCTGAAATTCTCCATTGAATTGGTTGGTACTTTTTATTTTCTTGATGTAATGCTACACTTCACCTGGATAAATTATCTAAACAGAACTCTATCACTTACTCTCTTTCACTCCATCTGAATCTACCTACCTGCTGATCTACCTAGCTGTATTTATTAGTTTGTATTGATGTAACATGGACATGTGTGGTTTTTGTTGGGTGTCGATACGACAAGGACATGATATTCTTGTCTCATGCTTGATGATTCTTGTTAACCTTTCTCGCTTACATATCAAAATAAGAGTACAACAATGTCACGTAACATCCCATCTCCCCTATTATCTAAATGATATAGGGATGTATCAATGTCTGAATGGCTAATTTCAAGGTTGGCATTATATATAGGAGCGGTGGTAAATCTCTTATTGGTCTTATTATCTTATATGTAGTTATGTATGATCTTATTTATTATTTTATAATGAAATCTATAGCCATTATTAAGTTGGGTTGGCTCTTTAATAGTATGCAATTTGAAACTCAAAAAGTCCAACTCAAACTCATCTGGCTGCAAAATCTGAATTGAGAACTTTTGGAACTGGCCGAGACTTACCAGTTCTCAAGGTTTGATTGTTAATTGTTTAATAGTCGGCCAATCTTTGAAAGACCAGACTGATTTGCCTAACTGGGTTCGGGACCCAACTGATTTCCACCCTGAATCCTTACTTTAGAACACTAGACTCATGTTAGTTCCATTAATTGTGCTTGAATCCTAGCAAACCCACTCTTTAAAATTTCTCGATGTACTTTACCGCTGCTTGCATACAGAAGAAAACAAATCTGTGCTATGTTAAATATGAGATCCTATTTTCCCAACACAATAATAGTGTAATCGCAAACCCCATGCATATTCAATGCTGTTCAGTTTTAATGGTGGAAACTTCTACCTTGCTATATATGCTTGTATCTGCATTATATTTTGATTGTTCAATAAATTAAGGCCATTTATTTTCCAAATCCAATAATTAAGGTCATTTGCAAAGAAAGATCAGTTCTACGTAAGCTCAAAGGCAACGTAAAATGCTATTGCTATGTATGTTATGGGGAACTTATTCTTGATTACAAAAGGGAGCATAATTGGTAATGACTGATTACCAATGATTAGACTTGGTGAATTTAGATGCAAGAACCTTGTACTCAAGTTGTGTTCCATCTTGCACAATTTTCACTTCTTTTGTAATAGTTTCCTTGCTCTTTCATTCATAATGCAATAAGGCCTATCATAGAAGACATTTTCTCCGTCGTTATAACAAAATATGCAGTAAGTTGCTTTATACAATATCTTTATTTCCTAGATTTTAGAAACTACTATGTTATTCTTATCGGTCTAAGAAGGGTGAGGGCTTTAAATTTTCCCAACCCTTCCCAATCCCGGGTAAAGGAAGTAGATTATGTTAGTCAGCCAGCTAGCGTAAAACTTTGCCAAATCTTATCATGAATCTTGAACCTATGATATATGAGAGAAGAATAGAGGAACATGATAGCCGACCCCAACTAATCGGGATAAGGCTTGGATGATGACTCAGTTATTCTTTTCTTTTTCTTTTTTTCTATTCTTATATGTTATTTCTTACTAATTATTGTACTAACTAATGTTGCATTTCATTTGTTACATCTATTCTAATTTGATATCCACTTTGATTTCAAGTACAAAATTTGTCTTTGGGTGTCTGCGTAAACATGGGCAAATATTTTCTGTAGGTAAGCTGATCATTTTGAGAATTGTATTGTGAAAAAACTATATATATTTTAGATTGGTAGAAGTCTCTGAGAGATATCGTAGAAAAGCTACTTGGCGACTGCATCTTGTTGACATTTAATGTGCTGAAAGTTTGGGATTTATACTTGTCACTACTGTTCTCTAAAGACTAGACTTCCAGGTTTGGGTACCTTCTATCCATCTACTCTAATTTTTGGAGGTAGAGTATGTCATGATCCTGCATGAGAAGACTAGAGCTCGCTAAACTACCGGTTTTTTAACAGTTACCCAATCACTATGTTAATTCTCATGCTGTAACATTGATATATTACAGGTATTGGAGACCAGTGTTCCAATCGAGGAGTTACTCAATTCACTGAGCTCTTAGGCAATTGGTCCAGCTCTAAAGGTTATTGCATGTATGCTTTTATCATCCCCTGGATCTCAACTTATGGAATATCATTATTGATTATGGTTTTGATGAGCATATTTAAATGATAACTCAGTACTAAGCATGCATCTTGATTGTGGCTCACATGATGAAGTATTTAATGGCATTTGTGTCTCTTGGTTGGTTCCTGAAGGTCTAATATATTTTGGGTTCATGCTTGAAGTGTAAGGTGTAAAAAGTTGTCATGAGATCTTGTACTACATATATTAAGTAATATAAAGTCATGGTTATCCCAAAAAAAAAAAAAAGACCAATCAGAATTTATGTTGTCAGGCTCCTTTATCCTTTAGAGAGAATTTGAACCTCCTTTTTGTATTGATGGTTTCCAACTTTCTATTAGTGATATCTAGTGCATCTATGGAAGAGACATTATAATTGAATGGGCTAGAGAAAATCATAAGTCCATTTTGGTCATCACCATATATGAAATGATGGATGGTATAGGTAAGAGTCTGAGATCCACCAGAACAAGCGGTGATCCCAATGGCAGTCCCACTCTGTCTCTCTATCACTGTTCATCATTTTATTGGGTAGTGGCAACCCTAATGGAGTACAGTCTTTCGCAGTCCATTGGATTACAGTGTACTTTCCTTTTGTGTAGTAAATTGTGGCTCTGATTTCTCCCTTGTTCTACTTGTAGAGAAATTGGAAATGGGTCTTGGGATTCTTGGGTTCTGCCCCTTGCAGAACAGGTAAGACTTGATCGCAGAAAATTACAACCACATGTCTGACTATGTGAGGGTTTTTTCGCTGTATATTTTTTAAGTTCTTTTTTTTTTTTTTTTAAATTCAGGATTTTGTTTTCTCTTTATGTCTTTCACTGACTGAGGATTACTTTCTCTGATTGCAGACGGAGATTGCCTGTGTAAAGGTGGGAAAGTTGTCTTGGTTTTTCACTCATAATGGCCAATCAAGCATTTAAAACATTTGCCTCATTGATTTCTTGATGAATTCTGATAGGTGAAGGAAATTGAAGAACTAAAAGAGGGTTATAACATTGTTAGTCTTTCCCAGGTAATTGGACATTAGTATATGTTGCTGTATATCCTTTATAAGATAACCTCATTAATAATTGAAAGAAATAATCAAATGAGAGGATGTCGTCATCGATGGTAGTTAAATGATATCTGTTTTTCATGTCAGGGATTTGGGGTTTCATATAAGGTTGGGTTTAGTAATAAATTTTGGTTTATTTTTCAGATTAGAAATTTGTATAGAAGTTGCTATTAGGTTTAATTTGTTCATGTAAAATATAAATCTAATATTGGTGTTTTTGGTCTATTTTCAAGGTTTTGTAATTTTTATAGATATTCGTTGCTCTGCTAGTTTCTTTAATTGTTTTTCGTAAATACAAGAGACTTTCATGAACCAGGCCTGATGATTTCGTTTTATTAAAAAGGAGTTTTGCCTCTTTGGAACCGCAGTTACTAAGCTGTTTTATTTTCCCTGGATATTGCTTATTATTATCGACAGACCACTTAAAATTGATGGGATCTATGGCTTCATCTATCTAGAATTGGAATTCCAACTGTGTGTTACCCCAGTCAAAACTGGAAAACTTCAGGGCAAGTTTTCTGTGTCAAAGTTGTACAATTGTGGCTTTTTTGTATGAGAGCCACTGCTAGTGCCCATTTTCTATAGTTATTTTGTGTACTCTGAAGTCTGAAAGAGTGTGCTTTACGACTAACATGTGCCATCTCTTCCGGATCCAGTAGCATGGAAATTTAAGAATAAGTATCTTCGTTCACCTAGTCTAGGAGTGATGGCTATGTTTAATAATGATGGCATTTCTTTTGGTAGGTAATTAGAGATTATCGCTAGATCCATGAACCAATATATCTTAGATTAATGTATATAATATCATGTTTTAGATTAATTTGTAACTTATTTACTTGCAATACAAGCAAGTTGATGGTTATTCTCCTCTCAACTGGTGTTCTTTTATGAGTATCTCAGTTTCTTCGTGACAGTTAGAATGGCAATTCCTGATCATTAAGATGTCTTGCAGGGGAACTTAATAGCTCGAGGGGTTATTGAGTTCTGTGAAGGAGGGCCTCCAGTAAGATCTCTAATCTTGTATTTCCCTTTTCTTTGAAAAATACCTTTTTGATGGTTTTATCCCTTCTAAACATTAGAAAAGTTTATCAAATCACACCCGAAAGTTGAACTATTTAGCATCTCACTCGGTTTCTTTGCCTAATTTCAAATAGATCATAAGTCTTTTGATCAGATTTCACATAGCACATCAAAGGACACATCATCATGGGTCATAAATTGTGGATGGGTGAAATATTAAGTAGTTGATATCTCAGGTGTGATTTGATAAATTTCCTCAAATTTTATGTTAGGAAGGCACTGGGATGGTTTCCTAAGAGGATTTAAATTTATTATCATTTGTCCATATCCATTGCTGACCATTGCTAAATTTGAGCTGTGCAAAATAATGTTGCTTCATGTTTCATCTTTTAACAGGTCAAGAATTTTATCTCTTTAGCAGGGCCTCATGCTGGTACTGCTTCAGTACCGCTTTGTGGAGTGAGTGTTCTATAGACATACCTATCTGGTTTATTTTATAATTTCTTGGTTTTCATTTATTTTAAGAATTGGGTAACTATCATGCTTTAATGGCCTATCCAATATGGAAACCTTGACGCTTTGAAGGCTGAAATATCAAATACTGAGCCGGAATGGGATGGTCAATTACAAGAAGAAAAACAAAAGCAAAAGGAAAGGAAGTGGGATTAGAGTCGGTCAATTGCCAAAAAATAAAGAATCAGAGGGTTTTGAGGATGCACTTGTAATATAATTTGGGAATGCTTTATATATTATGCCCATATTGATGTGTTAGTGTGCATGGGTTTTGTACGAGATAATGCCAATCAAGATTACTTTTGACCCTTAGTTTGAAGCCAACAAAGGATACCGAAGAGAATTTATTGTGATTCTACTACTTTTTGCAGAGAGGTTTTATATGTATTCTTGTGGACACCCTCATCAAGTCAGAAATCTATTCTGATTACGTTCAGGTTTGCTTCTCTTAAGCACAAGTTGTCCTGCGCCCCCCCTCTCTCTCTCTCTCTCTCTCTCTCTCTTCACAACAAAACCACAAGGGAGTCGTAGCAGTCAATTTGGCTAGTTCAAATGCCCAACCCTCAAAAGGAATTGCATAATTATGGTGGTTGGCCTCTTGGCTGGCAAGATTGTAAGGGCTCAAACGTCAACACTATAAGCTTGAGTTCAAATTCCTGGTTGCCCACCTAAAAACAGAAAAGATGAAAATGAAAAAAAAAAAAACTTAATAGCATTGTTACTCCTCCTAGAAAGTAGTATGTAATCGAACAATCTTACATTATTAGTACTGAACCTTAAAGTTGGTGCATATTCCTAACTGTGGATAGATCTGATTTGCAGGAACATTTGGCTCCAGCTGGCTTTCTCAAAATCCCTACTGTAAGTGAATTTTTTTGGCTATTCACTTTTATCTTGGTTAATGAAGGGTGAACATATCATAACTGTCATGTTTTATTTATTCATGTTTTGTCCAACATTAACGAATAATCGCACGCCTCATCTTCATCTATTAGTTGTTGCATGATTAACGTGCAAGATTTCCTTTCCTATTTCTTCTTTTTCCTGGTATCCATTTACAATGATCAAGAACAAGGTATCCAAAGGCGTTTATAGCTAGAACTTCATTGGCAAAGAAGTCAAATGAAAAACAGTTTGATGATGATGATGATTGTGTGCGTATGTGTGTGCGTGTGAATGTGCACTCATACGCGCGAGAGAGAGGGAGAGAAAGAGAAAGAGAGAGAGAGAGAGAGAGAGAGAGAGAGAGAGAGTAGTATTGCTATGTACTTCTCGTTCGTTACGTATTGTTTTAGCGTACTAATTTACGAAGTAGAGTAAGTAGTTAGTTAGTAAGTGTAACTTCGTTTCGTTCGGTTTACTTAG